ATAAATGCTATAGAACTATATCTGTACTGTCTCGTGGAGTTCTTTGGGCTGAACCTGACAGCAGTACTTTTTAGAGAGATAAAAGATTTGTTCCCGCTCCAGGGATGTAATTCCAACTAAGAAGGAGAATGCTGTTTGTATTTCACCATGGTTGTCTTAAAAATCAGGATTCCTAAGATTTGGCATCCACAGTCAATCAAACAGTTCCTCTCTGGCTGGTCGCATTTGATAAACTGAAACAATGCAAAATATCCGGAAGACTTATTTATCCAGGTGTTTGTTAGGAATGAGTGAATGTTCCATCTTACTTTCTCCATTCGGTTCTCTGTTTTATAAATCTGGCAAGTTCATGCCATCATTTTCTTATTTTCTTTTCCTCCCTTTCTTTTTCTCTCTCTCCCTTAAAAGGGCCTCACTTGGCACACATTTATCCCAGGATCTCCTCATATATATTCTTTTAAAATGTACTGTTTTTTCAAAAAGCAAAATATTGATAGCTAAACATATTGATGGCTAAACATATTCTTTAATCAGTAAATTAGCGTGGAGATGTTATTGACTATAGCTATAAACAGAAATCATTATACAAGTTAGCAGTACCTCCTACATACATAAACCTTGCACAAACTAATTTGGAGTTTGAAACACTGTGAAATGAGCATCAGAATGCACATTGAACACATATCTAAATTATGTTCACTTTGCATTCTCATTCTTTCCAGGGCACATTCTGATACATATATGGCCACAGTTCTTGAAAACAAAGATATTTTTCATGTAATTTCCACATCCAAAGTTGGAGCAAAAACCCTGCAACATAAGTAAAGGGCTGGGTTTTGTACATGCTGTTCTCATGATTGCCATCTCCTGCTGTCTGCCAGGGTTTGAAGGTTATTTTTCTGCAACACATACCTCTGTTAGTTTTCTGTGTATATAAAATAAACATATACAAATTGCTCAATAATATAAACCACAGATGTGTGCTTTCTGTTGAAACTTAGAATGCCTTGTCCGTATTAATATTGTCCAAACTCATTTTGTTGGAAGGGTAGCCAAAGTAAGTAGAGATTCCTCAGAATTGCAAAATATATAATTCACATAACTACTCCAAATAATTCCAGTGCTAACCCTGACAAATGCTAGTTTTGATCATTTTTTTAACTTCAGGTTATGCAAACAATATAAAGTTTTTAGCTATATCCATTCACCAAATTTACGGTATTAAGTACACTTGTTCTGTTGTTTTGTACAAATTTGGATTTGAGAACAATGGCTATTAAGTGGATTCTTTGTATTGTCATTTGTGCCACAGGAAATTCAAGGATTCAAAATCCGGCAGAACCTAGGATTCAAATTGAGACGAATCTTTTTTGCAGTTTACAAAATAGCATTTTAAATGTTCCTAGCTCCAGTACATTGAATTCACATGCTCTGAGATGAATCTAATCATAAGTTTTGCAAACTCAAGCAATGCTTTTGAAATGTGAAACTGAAAATCTTGTTTTTCACTTGGATTTGGGAGACATTTAATAAGTAAATATTATGCTTGCTAATTGATTTTATTTTTCCCTCTTTTTTCATTCTAGATGCCAATAAAGTGGATGGCTCTTGAGTGTATACATTACAGGAAATTCACGCATCAGACAGATGTTTGGAGCTATGGTAAAATAAAAACTATATTTAATTATATTCTGAAAATAATAACATTGTATTTATTTATTAATACCCTTTCATCACCCATTCTTTAATAATCGTGTAAAAAAAGAGGTACTCCATTGACTCAACTTGTGAGTTCCAACTTTTCCCATTAAGCATGTCTTAGAGCAGCAGTTCTCCAACATTTTGGTCTCTTTTACATTCTTAAAAATGATTGAGGGCTCCAAAGAGCCTTGGTTTATGTCGGTTGTATCTATCAATATTTAGAAATTAAAACTGAGAAATTTTAAAATATTTATTTGACTTTGTGGACCCTATGAAAGGGTCTTGGGGATCCCCAGGAGTTGCCAGACCACACTTGAAGAACCACTGTCTTGGAGGATGCAGTGAAAGATGTTTTCCTGGGATCTGGATGTGCAGAGAATTGACTTTGAATCTGATTGGCCTGTGCTAGTTTAACACGTTGTTAACCAGACCCATATAACTTTGTTTCCACATAGTGGATGAAGTTTTTAAAATTTTAATTTGTATAGTATTTGTTTTATATGTTAAAATAAATTACATTTCCATGAAGCATCTCTGTTGGCTTGTTGAAAACACTCTTGGGCAGTGTTTTGCCTGATTGTTTTGACAATGAATGTTTTTCTTTATGAGTTCAGAGTATATAGAGATGGCCGTGTATCATAACTTTTAACATTCCTTATATTCAACATTCATATGTTCAAAATATATGAACATTGGGATGATGATGATGATGATGATGATCATACCATCTTACAGGAATAGGGGAATTTTATCCCATAATCAGATAAATAATTTATCATATCATAGAACAAACACAGGGCTGGAGGATTAAGCTGGAAAAACTGACTAACATGGGAATTTCACAAGCAACCTTGCCCTTTGCAAAAAAGGCCAGATGCATCTGAAAACCCCGCGCCTATGGAATTTTGTTAGCGGTATTAATTAGAATATCAAGCTAATTTTATTGGCACCACGCTGGCACCTGGCTGGCTACTTGAGTTGTTTCTAGTGTGATTTATCTGCCCCTTTTGTTAAATAGAATTGAATTTGAAGGAAGCTGTATTGCTCCTGATGCACTGATGCAAAAAGGCTTTATAATATATTTGGCTGTACTCGCTGAAGTCTCATCAGAGAGTTTTATCCAATGTGTTTTTAATCCAATGTGTTTTTATCTAATATTTTATCCAACTGTTTTCCAAAGTAGTTAATTTCATATTCTCTTTAGCTAAGAAAGCTAAACATTGTGGTTTAAATTGCTCATCTACAAAAAACATGCTCTGACCCATATATTACTGCTTCATTTTGCAACATAGCTATGTTCAGTGGTGATGTTTAATTATATTCTGGAAAACTGTCCAACATGAACTTATAATGTGATACAGAAAGTCTGGATTTGTAGCCTCTTCCTATTTATCATTGCTCAGAAGTAAGTCCCGGTAAGTTCATTAGGACTTACTGTTAGGATGCCTTTATTAAAATGCAGCCTTATTCCTAGTGCCTCCTAAATGAGAAACAGCAAATCTGTTTATTGTTATAACACTGAATGGCTTAATACTACATGGCTGCCACTGTCCTACTTTTAGTATATTGACTGTTAAGTTTATTTCCTCTGTGGGTTTTCAGTGTACATAGAGGGTGTTTTTTTTTTCCTATTTGCTGTAAGGCTTTTTCCTTCTTAATTAAGATAGTAGCTCTTTATCAAATGTTCTTTCTCTGTGTGTATGTGCATGTGCATGTAATTTGTTATGGTAACAGCAAGAGCAAATCAGTCAATCAATAAAGACATGTAGTCTGATTGTCTTCCATACCACCAGCCGATCCACAGGCCTCCACTGAGGGAGGGGATCAAAACAGTTAAGGTGGGATAATGCAGGTAAAAAAGGGGTGGGGCTTTGATCGTGACTACCATCCTGACCCTCTCCCCCTCCCCATGGACAACCTGAGCTTATTCATTACCTGTTCTTCTAAACCCAGTTTAAAACTCACTTGAGATTCATCTAGGTTGTCTTCATCATTTTCAGCTATATTCCAACATTAAATGCTATTGATATGATCATATTATATGTAGAACTTGCACCTTTCAGCTAATGAATGCTAGTCCTTTCTACCTCATTGCTGGCTGACAGTGAAATTCAGAGAACTACGGTATCACTCAATCAGCACACTTGAAGAGAACCAGTAACACTGGTCAAAAGTCATCTCAGTATCTACGTTCCTGTTTAGTGCCATTGATTTTAATGAAACTTGGAATCTGTAAAATGCTGAACTAGCCAAACCCATAGATGCATTGCTCCACCCAGGGGTTTGTATGTCAAGGAGGTACTATCTTGCTGTGAGAGAAGATTAGGGCAGGTGTGTTGTGTGTGAAGGGGAAATGGTATTTTAAAGCAAGAAAACAGGTAGGCTGATACCACCATGGCTCATATCTACAAGAGTCACTATGAAATGCTTAGTGATGCTGTGCTGGCATGCCAAAGTGTTTCTGATGGGCATTGCACAGGGGGAATGTTGAGGCTTAATGTTGGAAAGATTGCCTAAAACTACTCAACTGGCCTGTAAGTAGACATGGGTCTGGAATAGAAATGTGACTCAGTTGCATGCAGTGGTTAAGGTACTGTGTAATTAAAAAGAAAAAGGAGGCCTTTATCTGGAAGAGCTCTTTGTATCATACTTCCCTACATCAAGAAAGGACATGGGGGATTCTACCATGGAAAAATAGCTCCCCTGATAGTGTGTAAAGAATATCAGCAGCTTAAGTTTGGCTTGTGGATGTATGGGTGTGAAGAAGCAATATATACACATAACACATTTACTTCTTTATTTTATTTTTGAGAATGAAAAAAGGTCTTAATTTTCTTCTTTTGCAAAAATAGATTCTGAATTTAATTTAATTTAATTTAATTTAATTTAGGATCATTTCTATTTCAGTTCTACTCCTGCTTCTTACTGCAAGTTTCTTTATTCGTTTCTGGTTGCTCTTTCTGTGAATCTGATAATGGGAAGGCTCAGGGACTCAGCATAGAATTCCTAAGACTGTTGGCTCAGCAATGTTTATTCCTGCCAAGATATCCAAAGGACTGCCAGTCCAGGACAGGAAGTCAGGAAGCCCCAGGAAAAGGTTTTCACAGAATTAGAAAGGGAAGAAGCAAATCAGCGTTGAGCTTGGATAACAGTGACTCCAGACAGGACAATCACACCCATTTGTCAAAGTGCAATATGTTAAATATGTACTAGCATATGCATTCAAGGGTCCAATCTGGATTGACATCTCAGCAGTAAGAAGGTGAACCTTTACATTTTTCCCCTGCCACGGACTTCATAACATTCCCTGCCCAGAGGACTTTTGAGAAGGGAAAAGGCCAGTGAGATGCTGACCCGTGCACCCAGGAGGATTTGCAGAGTAGGTGCTCCCTTCATACAGCTGTTTCAACAAAATGGACTGTGAGAGGTACTGCAAGTCACCTCCAGCAGAGAGGAAATAGTCTCTCCAAACCTAACCTATTTCTTTTTTTTTTAATATAAATTTTATTATGTTTTCAAAAAAGTTAAAATACAGAAAAATCAAGAAAAAGGAAAAAATAAAAAAAATAGAAAAGAAAGAGTAGCTTCCGACTTTCTGGTACAGATAGAGATGTAGAATATATTCAGCTCGTACTCTAATATCTAAAAGTTTACATAATAAAAAATAGTTTTTAATTTAATATTCAAGAAAATTCCTAAAATCAATCTATTTCAATAATACATATGATTTGTATAAGATATTTCTATAAGAATAACATCAATCATCAAATCCCAGAATCAAAATTGCATTGTTTTGAGTGTCAAGCAAAAATTCTAAGAGTGTTTCCAATTATAAATAAAGCTAGACAGCGCCCTCTCTTTGAGCAAAGCAGTGAGTTTCACCATCTCCACCAGTTCCGTTAATTTCAATATCCATTCTTCAGCTGTAGGTATTTGTAAATCCTTCCATTTGTGTGTGTGTAAAAAGTCTTGCCACAGTTATCATATAAAGAAATAAATTTCCATGTTGTCTTTCCATTTGTTTATCCATCATACCTAAAAGGAAAGTCTCTGGTTTCAATTGCAGGTTTATTTTCAAAATCTTTTGAATCAAAATACATATATTCCAACCTAACTTATTTCTGAGTTATTTTGGCACAATGGAATTAGTGTGTGGTAACTTCACTACCTTCTTCCATTATTAGAAAATACAGGAGCCAGGAGGCTCATGGGTGGGGAGCTAATTGCTAGGTTGTTTTGAAAGCCTTTAATTCTTGTATGAGCCAGTTTGGTGTAGAGGTTAAGGCATCAGGCTAGCAACCTGGAGACCATGATTCTAGTCCCGCCTTGGGCACAAAGCCAGCTGGGTGACCTTGGGCCAGTCACTCTCTCTTAGCCCTAGGAAGGAGGAAAGAGCAAGCCACTTCCAAAAAACCTTGCTAAGAAAACTGCAGGGACTTGTCCAGGCAGTCA